CTCGAAAGCCCCCAAAGCCTTCTCATCTTTGTTCGACATCGTCCAAGATTCTGCGCCATATAAAAGGACGGGCATGATGAGAGATTTGTAGAGCGTGAGTTTCGTTCGTCGAGAGAGGGCTCTGCTTTTCAATTGCCTACCGAGCCCAAAGTAGCACCTGTTGGCAAGAGTTATTCTTCGCTTGATCTCCAGGCTGACGTTGTTGGTGGTGTTTATGCTGGATCCTAGGTAGACAAAGTCCTTCACTACTTCAAAGTTATATCTGCCAACAGTGACGTGTGTCCCGTAGCGCGTGGACTCTTTATATGTTGCCAGGAGGTACTTTGTCTTTCCCTCGTTCACCGCTAGACCAACCTCTTTAGCTTCTTTTTCTAAACTGGAAAATGCTGCGGTTACGTCCCTTTGTTTCAGACCTACGATATCGATATCATCTGCATACGCCAGCAGCATCGTTCTTTTGCTATATATGGTGCCGCTGCGATTCAGATTGGCAGCTCTTATTACGCTTTCCAGCATCAGATTGAAAAAGTCGCACGAGAGTGAATCGCCTTGTCTAAAACCTCGTTTGGTCTCAAACGGCGCGGAGAGGTCCTTCCCAATTTGGACGGAGCTGAAGGTTGTGCTCAACGTCACTCTACATAGCCGTATTAGTTTTGCGGGGATCCCAAATTTGGACATGGCGTCGTACTGGCAGCTCCTCTTCGTGCTATCAAAAGCAGCTTTAAAGTCAACAAAAAGATGGTGTGTGTCGATTTGCTTATCTAGTGTCTTCTCCAGGATTTGACGTGCTGTGAAAATCTGGTCAATGGTGGACTTACCAGGTCTGAAGCCACACTGATAAGGTCCAATCAGCTGGCTCGTGAACGGCTTCAGTCTTTCACACAGTATCGTCGACAGGACCTTGTATGCAATATTAAGAAGGCTTATTCCGCGATAATTGGCGCAAACGGCGGGATCTCCCTTCTTGTGGATTGGGCAAAGTACACTGAGATTCCATTCTTCGGGCATGTATTCATCAGACCAAATTCTGCTTAAAAGCTGGTACATACGCCCCACCAACTCTTCGCCACCGGCTTTGAACAGCTCAGCCGGTATACCGTCGGCTCCGGGGGCTTTGTTGTTCTTAAGCCGCTTTATTGCTGTTCTCACCTCGTCTTGGTCCAGTTGAGGGACGTGAGCTTCGTCCCTACACATTGGTTCGGGTTCTAATTCATCAAACGCGCCATCTGTTTCGCCATTTAAAAGCAATGAAAAGTGTTCCCTCCATATCTCAAGAGAACTATTCTACGCAAAATCTACGGCCCTGTTTTCGTGGATGGCGGATGTCGGAGAAGATGGAATGAGGAACTGTATGGGCTTTTTAACGACATGGACATAGTTAAGCGCATAAAAATACAGCGATTGCGTTGGCTTGGACATGTTGTACGCATGGATGACGACTCTCCGGTGAAAAGATCCTTCGACTCCGCACCCATGGGTGGACAACGAAAGCAAGGACGAACGCATTGGAAGGACCAAGTGCAGAAGGACCTGTCTGCGCTCGGGATAACCAACTGGCGCAAATTCGCGCAGGAGAGAAGCAATTGGAAAAGCTTTTTGGTCTCGGCCCAAACCGACAAACGGTTGTAGTGCCAAATAAGAAGAAGAAGAAGATGCTCGAACTCTAACTTTCAAATGCACGATATTTGTGCGTATAAAATGTATGTACATCAGCGTGGGCCGAAAATCCGCTTTTTTAGAATTTTGATTGGTAATAGCAAAAATATGGTTCACTATGCTTTAAAAACAATCTGTGTGAAATAGGACAATTTTTGGTCAATATCTTAGGCTCGCCCAAGTCCATCAAAGTTCAATATGGCAAAAAAAAAAAAATTAATATCTTTTTACTAAAATTTCAATAATGTTCTAAAGTATTAGTCCTACATAATTAGGTATATGGACCTTTTTTGTAGAGAGTCGAAGTTAGCTAAGAAAAATTTTTTTTTAGTACTTGAACTTTGATGGACTTGGGCGAGCCTAGGATACTGACCAAAAACTGTCACATTTCACACAGATATTTTTTAGAGCATAATGAACCATATTTTTGCCAATCAAAATTCTAAAAGAGCGGATTTTCGGCCCACGCTAATGTACATATATACACATATGCACACATATATATCAAAATATTAAGAATGACAAGATGAATTGGTTCAGCCCTCTGTTTGTAAAGACGCTAACTCGAACAAAATTTAGATATTTTAACGAAAGACTGTGTCGAAGTTGCGTTTGGTATAATTTAGGTTAGTGTTAAATTTTGGCGAAATCTGCCAATAACCACGCCCACCTCCTACGTAGTTATCAAAAATATTTTTGTTTTTTTTTGCGAATTTTGATGTTCAAATTTACATTTCAAATATATCAACAAACATTTGAGAGTACTTTTGCCCTTGGGTTAATGACAAAAATCCTATACATTCACAATATTTCATTAATTAATTTTCAAATAAGTATATTGTCAATGGCTGGTTTACTGTATACTGTGGTCGTGACTAAAGTTTTTTATTTTTTTCATTAAATGATTCGAGTTGTGATTCGATGAACTCGATCATATTTAAAACTTAAAAGTATAAACAGAACCAAATCGCTGCGCGAATTTCGTCGCAACATTTCGCCCAGTAAAACAGAACAGCATCAATTGAATGACAAACAAAAAATACAAAAGCGAAATGATGAATCGCCAAATTTTGCCATTCTGATTCTTGCTGATAATTATCTGCTAGAAAAATGAGAAAGAGCTACTTTTCCACTGAGAGCTGATTTTATGACCGGCGGCAGCGGCAAAATTAAAAATAAATCTATTATTGCCGAATTTTGGCAGACGAACTTCGTCGTCGCTTTGGTTCTGGGCAATCTCATATACTACAGTGTGTTTTAATTTTGGCAGAGAACTTTCTTCCGACGAATTTCTCTGGGTGATTTGATTCTGTTTATACTTTAATTTTGAATTTTTTATTAGTTACGACTTTTTGAATTTCAGCGACGATGTTTTTTACGTCTTTTTGCATTTCCGGTAATTATCTCAGGGACTGAAGTGAAGCTAATACTACGTTTCCAAGAATGATAGAATACAAGATTACGCCAATTGAGCTGAGAGCAACCGGGCCTGACGTCAACAAATACCAGAATGAGAGAGCAAAACGAACTTGACAAGAAAAAGAGGAAGCATCAAACAAAAGGCAGTATTGTCAAATTTTGAATTTGAAAAAGCACCAAATTTTTATTGTTGTATTTAATGGACTTTATATGAATACATAATTTTATAGTATGGACGCCGATTCAAATTAATAAAAATCAATGTTTATTGCACGACGGTCGATTTCTTCTGCCACGGTTGAAGGTGCTGCCATATATTTTGTTGTCGCTTATGATTGTCACTGTGCCATGATTTTGTTTAAATTTTTGTAAAGTTGCTTACCCCACCTTCGGTTGCTATACATTTTTCTTCCATTTTTTTAAAATTCACAAATTTGGTATCTTCAAACTAAAAACAAAAGCACCAAAAACGCACCAAGCACCAAACTCACAAATTTTCGCGTTTTGAATACCCACTAAATTTGGTGCGAAAAGCTCGAAGTTTTTGTGACGTCAGCGAATGGGTGGATGCTGTCAAATTGATGAAGAGAGGGTTAGCGGTCCGTGAATGGCGCCACCTCCATTTTCTGCATCGTGCTACGTTTCCACGATTCGTAATTCGCTCTCTCATTCGTAATTCGCTCTACCATTCGTCACTCGCCATCCAATTACCCTTCGAATTACGTGATTCGCCGTACAAAATTTTGAGAGCGAATTACCTCATTTGTAGGTAATTCTGATCGAATTACCATGCGAATGCCGAACGAATCGGTACCTTCTCTAATATTTATTGGAAATATATCGAAGTTTTCACCGGCTTGGTCGCATTTGCTGGCACTTTTTCTAGTTGCTAGAAAATTAATTAATAAAATATTCTCTATATAAATTAAAATCTTTGATGAATTAAATTATTGCTCCATCTTCGATATTAAAAAAAAAATAATAATACATAGCGAAGAACAAGAACAATAAGTAGAACTGCCAAACGAATTACTAATGTGTGTCGTGGAAAAAGGTTAATACACGAATTACTTAGCGAATTACTTACAGCCGCACTCAGTAATGTTACTTAAATTAGCTCTAAAGGGCACTTAACTAATGATCGTTAAATCTGTTAATTAATGTTTCCTCTCACAGTTAAAAATTATGAAATGAAAAAATTTAAGTATGGCTCGAGTTGCGACCCTTTATTTTTGTGGCATCGCTCACTTTTTTCGTTCAGTTTGAAATAAAATGATAGTATGTTTAGGTTTGCACTAAACAACCAAAAGAAACACGAACTCGAAGTATAGGTATGTATAGTGTGACCAACTGTACGTACATAAATGACACGTACAGCACGTAATTTTGTAGCCATGTACCGTGTACCGAAGCTAACCACAAAATCACGAAAATGTACGTAAATTGAATCGAAGAAATGTTGTACGTAAATTTTATCGATAGGAGCGCCCAACATACATACGTACATGCAAATTTTGACTAATACAAACTAAAAATATCATAATGAATCAGTTGATGGATCATTAAAATCTCGTCAAAATGACGATAAAATCCCCAACACTGGCAACGCTGTCTGCTGAATACTTTATTTGTGTTTTTCTTGTGTCCGTTAACAGGCCTAGTCTGCTTGTAACCGAACATTTTGTAACAAGCTAATTTTGTTACCAACAATTGTCACCACTTCTTGCAACCGCAATTCTATTTACCTTGGTAACGATTTAATTTATTCAGCAATTCAGCTATGGAGTTTTGTTGAAATTCTGGTGTTGCATATTTCACGGGCCAATATTTTATTACCTGCTCATGAGATGGTAACAAAATTTACCGGTTACAAGAGTGTGGAGCATACGAAAAGTGTTTAAAAATTGACAGTAACTTTACTAACCGGTAACAAAATTTTTGTTACCAACGCAGAATAGGCCTGTAAGGGTGGGTAACTCAGCAAATTTATAGGAGTTGACTCAATGACTCCAACTCACTTTAGGGAGTCAGTTCATTCAACTAACTCATTTGACTCTTTGTATATTAAACTCATTCGTATCGTAGACTCGTTTTGAGGCATAAGTGTGGTATAGCGGCCGTTGAGATAAAACAACAATTAAAAGTGGGCGTATTGAACGCGTATTTTCTTTGATCAATCAGATTTGGAGCGATGAGAAACCACAACTGAAAATCGAGACATTGCGAGATCTTTTGTTTGTTCGGTACAACATTATAATGACTTGTACGGAATTTTTCGAATTCGTAAAGAAGCAGCATCAAATGCTGACCGAAATTGCATCAGATGGAAAATACGCGTTCAGGGAAACTACTCAAGATCAATGAATTGATTACATAGGCTGACACTTTTGTAATTTAGCAGCAATTGCATTATTTCAGCTTTGCATGTATGTATGTACCTAAATATTTCTCAATTCGCAAATAAATATGCTGAAGTTTGTACGTCAAAAATGTGTTTGGATATTGACTAAAAAACAGCAATAAAATCGTTTCCAAAATTTTTCTTTAAAATTTTGTGTTGCTACAATCTTTTGTGTACGTAAATGAGTTTTTGGAAAAGTGGTCACACTAGGTATGTACGTCGTTTATTTGGGTACTCGCAAGGCGAACGTGCCAATCACGTCAAAAGATTTACAATAATGACCAATGCTTATATCAAAGTTGAGCTTAAGTAGGAAAATAGTGTGTAAGCTAATAACAACAATATAGATAGTTCTTGTATACTGTTCTTGTATCCTGTACAATGGCATGATCGAAGTAACGGTTGGGTGGCGTGACATATGTACTTACGTATGCTAACTGCAGTAGATCACCTGATGCTGGTGATGCCGGATTGTGTGGCTTCAAAACACACTAGCACTACTGTCATTCCAGCAACACTCCCCAAAAACTCTTTGGGGAGCTTGTATGCTGCTACAACAACAACAACAACCTGTGTTTAACGAAAAGTCCCTGCGGTGTTCTTTTTCCGCTATTGTACTCAATCTTGACGATATGAACCAAACCGTGCCAGGGTGAACTTCCACAATGCGGCCTATACGCCAATGCGATAGGAGAAGGTTCTCATTGCGAATCAGTACTACATCGCCGAGCTGTAGATTCTCTTTGCGTCTTTCCCACTTGCGCCGTACTTGCAGAGTGGATAAGTACTCTCGTTGCCAACGATGCCAGAAGTGCTCAAACATTTTCTGCAGTTGGTGCGAGTACAGAAGACGGCTGTCTGGAAATGTTGGCGATGGGTGGCTCTGGTCTGGAGTTCAGAGGTCGACCAATTAGAAAATCGCGGGGTGTGAGTGCGAAGCTTCCGCTCGCATCGTCGTGAAGTGGAACGCGTGGTCTTGAGTTCAAACAGGCTTCAATCTGACGAGCAGGATGCTTAGTTGATTGAAGCGTAGGACTTGCTGGCCGACTGTACGATAGAGGTGCTTCTTTACTGAACGTACAGCGGCTTCCCAAAGACCTCCAGGGTGGGACGCTGCTGGAGTAATAATTTCCATTGCGTACCCGATGATGCTATGTGGTGCTGAACGTAAACATTTTGCCAGTCTTGCAGATCTTCATACATCCGTCGACTAGCACCAATAAATTGCTTTCCTTTGTTACTGTAGAGAATCGAACAAATGCCTCTTCGGCTTATAAAGCGATCAAATACGTCGATGAATGACTGGGTTGACAAACTTTCAGACAGCTCTATATGCACGGCTTTCGTAGCCATACAGACGAAAATCGCGCCGTATGTTTTTGTTATAGTGGTGGAACGCTTCCCTCCAGCCCGAATGTTGAATGGCCCACAATACTCCAACCCAGCATGCGTGAAAGGTGGAGCTACTATTACGCGGGCTTTTGGAAGCGATGACATCTGCTGTTGCTGAGTTAATCGGGCGTGTCCACGACAAACGACATACTGGTAAAGGTACGACTTCACAAGTCGGCGTCCATGTATAATCCAAAATCGTGAACGCAGGTACTGCAGCATCTCCTGTATTCTTCCATGTAGGTAGCGCTTGTGAGCATTGGCCACGAGTAGTTTTGTCAAAGAGCAATTTTGGACGAGAATCACTGGATGTTTCTGCTCATAAGGTAGTTCCGAATTCGTCAACCGACCACCTACTCGGAGGATGCCTCCCTCATCCAATATGGGGTTCAGTGAAAGCAGTTTACTTGATGTGGCAACACTGGAACAAGACTTAAGTGCATTAATTTCAGATTGGTACACATTACCTTTACTTTGACGAATGTGCACGACAAGTGCCCATTCCCTCTCCTCGGCAGAAACCCACTCGGTCGTACGTTGACTTCGGAGTGACGGAATCAGGCGTCGAATGCGGGCAGTCGTATTGAGCAATGTATCCAGACGGCTAAATTTGTCTACCAAAGGTATTCGCTGTCTGCCCACTGACGTCATTAGGAACCGTGACTCAGTGCTAATGCCAAGGTGAGCCTTTACCGGTCGGCCTTCGCTGTTGTGTTCGCTAGTTAGACTCGGCAGCTTTCCATACCGTAAGTCACGGTTTTTAGTTGGTAGGTGCGCAAGGGCTCGAGAGGAGACTCCCTCCATAGAATTTGCTGCCATCTTCGATGTCTTGAATCTACCATGACTTGTCGAAACATCTTTTTCACATCTGCCGTGAGGGCCACTGCATACCGACGAAATCGATGAAGGATGTCGACCAAGTATTCCTGCAGCTGTGGTCCAGTGAGTTGCGTATCGTTGAGTGATACACCGTTCGTTGTCTTGGACGATGCGTTAAACATCACCCGAAGTTTGCTCAGTGCGAACTTAGCACAGTGCGTAGGCAACTGGCTGAGTCAGTGGGATCATCGGTTCGAATCCTACTTAAAGAAGTCTGATGAGGAAATGTACTGATTTCCGGAATAGCTATCACTTCTACAATTTTTTCAAATTATTGTTGCTTTCCCACAACAAGTTATCATTAAAAAACGGCCTCGAGCTCAATAAAAATTGTTGAATATAATTGTTATAAGGCCATAAAATAACAAAAAAAATAACTTAAGGACAAGCACACCTTAAACATTCTAATAATAGAAATATTAACAAAAACCAACAAAACCAACAACCACATGATCAAGTGAATTGCAGCGGAATAGCTGTGCTTGATTGTAGTTGGCTTAATAAGTGAAATAGTGGAAGTAAGCAACAAGAATTAACAAGGCGAACTTAGCACAGTGCGTAGGCAACTGGCTGAGTCAGTGGGATCGTCGGTTCGAATCCTACTGAAAGAAGTCTGATGAGGAAATGTAGTGATTTCCGAAATAGCTATCTACCATTTTTACAAATTATGGTATCTTTCCCATAAGTTTTCATTAAACACTGCTTCGAGCTCAATAAAAATTGTCGAAGAGAATAGTTTTTATCTTAACCGTTTCCCTGTTCAGCGTTAAATTAGTAGTAAAGGAGGGTGTGGAGTCATATTCCCCAATAAAAACTTTCTTTAACTTAACATATCACTTATACTTTTTAAGATATTTACTGTTTAATGGAAGCCATGTTTGCTTTCAAAATTCATATACAAAAGAAATGTTAATTATCCTTGACAACGGAAGATGGGCTCCGCTACTTAGTGACGGTTATAATCCCTAAGCACGACCGAAGGCCTCCTACGCAGAAAGGTGTTCCTGAAAAAGGTGTTCAGCCCTTTTTCTTCGCAACACAGAAAGAGAATTCTACTTTGTGAGGGTTATAACCCCTAATGTGTTCAGCCCCTTTTGCTTCGCAACACAGAAGGAGAGTTCTACTTTGTGAGGGTTACAATCCCTAAGCGCGGCCTAAGGCCGCCTACGTATAAGGTGTTCTCTGCAAAAGTGTTCAGCCCCATTTCTTCGCAACACAGGAAGATAATTATACTTTGTGAAGGTTATAACCTTAAGCGCGGCCGCAGGCCGCCTACGCAGAAGGTGTTCTCTGCAAAAGGTGTTCAGCCCCTTTTCTTCGGAACACAGAAAGAGAATTCTACTTTGTGAGGGTTATAATCCTTAAGTGCGGCAGTCCGCTTCTGCAGAAAGGTGTTCCCTGCAAGAGGTGTTCTCTGCAAGAGGTGTTCAGTCTTCTTTGGCAACACAGAAAGGAGAATTCTACGTAGTACAATTGCTCGTAAGCATGAGGACCATTTTGCCAAACTAACTGACGCAATAAAATATATATCGAGGGCTTATATTCAATATAGAGGCAATTTTGATCAAAATGAGTTTTTGGTGGTAACGTGAGCTCCGATTAATCTTTCAGCCATGACAATAATGTCAAACTTAAAATATAGCTTTAATGGTATTATATTCCCATTTTGAAAATTCCACTATCTGCAATAACATTTTGTTATAAGAGCAAAATCCTCTATCTACACAATTTTACTGGAAAATTGTTTTTATTGACATTTTTT